TGACACACAACATATCAAACAATCTTTTTCTCTAAATTAAAATAGAATTATTTGAACACTTGATAATCTACCATAGTCCCTAAGGTTCGACCCTCTTTAAGTAGCCCTATCCTGCAAATGATTCGTTTTATTGCGAGTGGTATTTTATTATTGACACTGTCAACCACACATCAACGTACTAACCTCATGAATTCACAAAACATCGTCAATGCTATGTATATGGAAATGCTTCATACATAATCTAAGTCATATAAAGTGGGAGCGAGAGCAAATTCGAGAACGGAAGCATGAGCGTGGCAGAATTAAGTCATAAATAGTAAGAATTTTAGCCAGAGCGTGCGCTTGGAGGGTGAGAGCAACACCGTTGAGAAGGATTATGTGACTTAGTACATAACTCATTCACTACTCATCATGCTTTCATAATACAGAAGACAATTTCATGCTCACAATAAGCTTAATTGATAGTCATGGCATTACTTCAAGAATTAGGATAACATTTAGCGTACGAATAGTCTTATCATCACAACAATTACAAAATATAAGCATAGAATCCATCACATAGCAAGTTTGGTATCTTGTCCTTTATAATTTATACACAAAGTAAGCATATAATCACATAGAATTCATCAATTTGGAAAGAGCCCAAACATACATCAAACACTAGAATTTACTCATGTAATTAACATCAATTTAGCGTATATATAAAGGGGAAAAACATGTAATCAATTACAAAACCTAAGGAACTTGACAATTAGACAAATTGTACCTCAAATGATCCAATAAGCCCCAAAATTCAAAATCCCTAATGTCCACCAAAGCAACTTTGTTCGTATCAAAACTTTGCCCTCATCGAGCTCTCTAAATTTGCCTTCTATAGCAAAGATCAATTCCAAATGCAAAGTGGTGAAATCATGGATAAAAGAAGTGGGTTGTGTCTATTTTAGAGAGAGGTATATATAGAGAAAGAGTGAACCTACGGCTGGGAGAAGAGGAAAAATGTAGAAAATGGCCCTCCATTCAGATTTTTGTCTCAATTGTAATGTAAAGTAGCCAGTCAATGGTGGGGTCCCCCATGTGTAAAAATGTCTAAAAAGCCCTCCCATACAATTACCATTACACATATGCCACAAATGTGTATCTAAACACATATACACATATGCACCAAATAAGAACCATGAAATGTGAATGAACCAGAAAAATAATTTCAAGCATGAAAATTTCGTGTGTGGGGTCCACACGGAACGTTCTGGCCCAAAAATCCAAAAAATGTTAAAATGCACCCAAATGCATTTCTAAGAGTTCTAAACTTAAAGAAATGTCCTAATTGACTCTTGAGACCCACACGACACGATAAACAATGCAGAATACACAAAACGATGAGCAAAAATAAAATAAATGTGGAAAAAAAATTTGTCAAAAAATGTTGAAAAAGGCTTTGAGACGTCCCGTCCAACAGCAACTTGACATCAGGCTTATGCTTGATCTCTGTAGCAGGGTAGCAGGTAGATCAAACAATACTCCTCAAATGCTTTGACCCTTTCAAAGTGTGATTGCTTTTACTTCTGTTCTTCAGTATCTGAATTCGATGTAGAAGTAGATCTGTTTTTCTCTGATCGTTTGTAGATGCAAGACTTTGATCACAATCAGGATTTGAATAACACTCTAAACTTTTCTTCCTTACTTTACTTATTTATAGTGCACTGCTTGTTACCCTAATTCCCTTTCTTGGGTTCCAAGTTGGGAGTAAATGGGCTTGGTTCTTTTCTTGGGCCGTCCCTCTTAGGGATCCAGTTCGATATGAATGTGGTTGGACCTGGCGGTCGTTGAATAACCCTCCTAAATGGGTAGGCTGGGCCGCATCCGGCCCAGTGGGATTTCTACCCCTTCAATAATACTTCATTTTGGAGCAAACAATAATTTCATTTTAAGAAGGTGCAATAGTGCTAGAAAAGAATGCAAAAATTTGTCTCATTGCAGGAAACTCATTTTGCGATTTGCAGAGGATTTGATCCTTATCATTGAGGAAGTTTACGTGCTTGCTTTGGCTTAGAAAGATATTAGCAACCAATACCGGTTGCAGCAATGCATAATTGACCAGCTAGTTCGTGTTGGCTGAAAAACTTTGATTCTCAAAGCATACATTGACATTTCATTTTATATATTTATGTGTATTTTACATGTCTTGCAAAAATTTAAATTTGGTTATTTGCAAGTCATGAACACATGAAGAAGGGTTACTTGTGTTGTACAATAATCATAAGGGGTGGGCGTTACCCAGTGTTCTAAAGGGTCCAGTTTTCCGCGTGAGTATGCTCGTGTTCGAGTCCCTCTTTCTCTTAGTTTTCGAGGGAAAAAATAATAATCGCGGGAGTACCCCTTTCTCTTAGTCTTCGAAGGAAAAAATAATAATCGCGGGAGTCCCCCTTTCTCTTAGTTTTGCAAGCTACTTGCATTATCTCTATATATTTTATGAGGGCTATTTTTTTTTTTTCATTTAAATTTAAAGAGTCAAAAAATAAGTGCATAAAAAAAAAAAACAGGGACAATGAGAGACATAATGAGCCTAAAGGGAAATGTGACTACTTGTTCCTAATTAAAGCTGCATTCTATCTCTTGGATCCTAATGGGAACAAAAAAAAAAAACAAGAATATTTTGTTTGGACTTAGGATGGTTGTGGTGAGTAATATTCCAATACCATAAATTATCTTTTTGTCTAATGTAATAGGTTTGTACATAATATTATTCTTGTCAGTATTCAATTGGCGTCTTTGGTTTGGGATTGAAGAAAATTTAGTATAAATTTTTAACTAAATTTCCTCCAATCCTAAATTCAAGACACGAATTTGATGCTCACAAACGCAACAACAAAATTATTTAGAGTTATCTAGACTCGTATAGAATTGTACAAAGTAAACTAGAATTTTCTATTTTAGAACTACATCCTAAAATTCTCCCGATCATTTGATCTTTTACACTTGTATAGGTTTTAAACATTCATTATAAGGTCATTAACCTATATAAGAAGGTAGAAGTTCAGTTGCTCCTCATCCAGGCAAACCAGAGTTCAAATGGGTTTTTGAGAGTTATGAGTTTATAATGGGTTTGTAGTTGAATAGATTTAATGTGTCTATAATGGGTTTGTAGTTGAATATAGGGAGTGTGAATAGAACTATCAATACACCATGAATAGGTAGTCTTACTAAAAATGAAAACGAATGAATTTCTTAGTGAAGATATAATAAGAATAATCACATGCATGTATAAAAATAAAAATAAAATAAGAATTTAAATTTTAATGTGAATTGAGCACTTCATAGTGTTGCATACTCACTCGTATATATTCAACATTTGTCTTTCAAATTTTAATGTAAGTTGAAAAATTCTCTCTAACACAAAAGTTTAACTTTTTTTAGTCACTTACCTCTACCACAAAAGTTTAAGATAATGGATAGTAATGCTCATATATACTCAACATTTCTCCCCATCCAGATTCGATGTGTGACGAGAACCTCTAACAACAATTTAGTTGGGAGCTGCTTAAAGAATTTAGATCTGAGCTCCTCCAAGACGGTTTCTTTCTGAACTAGCATTACTAGTGCTTATTCATAATTGCTCTAACTATTTATATGCAAAGTGCATCTGTTTTGCCTCTCTATGTTACGGAAGAGAGAGAAAAGTAGACTTTCTTCACCAGAAACTTATAATTCTGAACTAGCAATTAAAGCTGCAATAATCGAGCATTCATTAGGCAGCCTCCCAATGAACAAATAAACTGAGTTCCTTTCATTCTCTAGAAAAAGTAATAGTAGTACTAGCAAGTTAGGATCATACTTCACTCTTGTATCTCAATTTATTCATCATGCTATAATTGCTCCATTTCCTTCACTCACAGAAAATGCAAGAAAATTTGAATAAGATAACCTTGTAATAGTGGATCGCTGTGTGAATTTTCGGACCAAATGTGTTTTCCTTTGCACGGCAAACACAGGAAATTCCTCTCAATTACTAAGAATTTGATATGAATGTCACCTTTCTTTTAAGAGTAATGATAGGGGAATTGAAAGGGAATTCCCGAATAAGTCCCGAATTTAATGTGATTAGCTACACTTATCACTTGTTAAATAATATTTTTTAGAAACTGTTCAAATAGGTGAAGTGGATAAAAAACATGTCAGATTCGGGGTTTATTCGAAAAAATCATTCGGTGATCCTATCATTTTCCTTCTTTTAATCTTCAAACAAATTCAACTAAGTAGGGGTGACAAATTATGGCACGACACGATACGTTCAAACAAATTCAACTAAGTAGGGGTGACAAATTATGGCACGACACAATACGACAACACGAGTTAAAAGGATTTGAGTTTGACATAAACGGATTTGAATCATAAAAGGATCGACACAATTAACCCGTTTACTTAACCTTGTTGAGTTAAAATTGAGGAGTTCAACCCGTATAACTCGTTTATGACCCATTTAACTTAACATGTTATAATTGTGAATATGACCTATGTAATATTTTACTTATTAAACCAATTACTATGGATAGTTAAGTCATTTAAGCATAAACCATGTCTATGCCTTATGATTTTTTTTTTTTTCTTTTTAATAAACGGGTTACGTTAGTGTAGAAGATTTTTAACACGATTATTACATAAATTGGATTTGAATTTACCTATTTAGTATAATACCCTTACATCGACACGACACGACACGACACGACACGAACACGAATTGCCACCCCTACTCAGAAGTGAAGGTAACCAATGTTTCTGAATAAAAATAGCAGCAGAAAGATTAAACATCCAATAATTAAATCTCCTAATTTTAGACACTTCGATTTCTGGATAAAGGATGAGGAGGCTGTTATCCATTAAGTTATTTTATCCATTATGATATGTTGTCGTAACCTTACTTCCTGATAAATTGACCATTTCCAGAGATCATCAAGCTGCAAAACTGTATAAAAAAAAACTCGCTCAATCAGAACTTCATCAGGGAAAAGAAAGGATAACAGCTAATTATAAGTTCGAAGTTCAAGTTCCATCCTCCGACACTAACAAAAAAGAAACATGCGAAACCAAACTCTAATGTAAGTTTATACTACTGTTCAAGATAAAAAAAACGAAAGCTAGAAACACAACCGATTGGCTAGGACTTATGACAGAGTGACGATTGCATAGAGCAGTATACAATTACAAGCCAAGCACATGAAGCATTACAGCATTCTGCGCATGCATGCGGTTCTCAGCTTGGGGGAAAACAACCGAGTTTGGAGCTTCAATAACTCCATCGGTAACCTCCACCCCTCTCTCTGCTGGTAAACAATGCATAAATAGAGCTTTTGGTCCAGCTAACTTCATAAGGCCTTCATCCACCTGCAGTTAATCCCATGCAAAAGATAAAGACCGGAGCTATGAAACATACAGTGACGATTTAAAAGTCCGAGAGGGTGCCAATTTATTGTGCATTATAGGAAGACGAGTAAAACTATGAGATCATCTAGAGCAATAGCATTTGAACATAGGCTCATAATGAGTTGCTGCAACACTAAATATCATCTATGTAATCATTTAACAGCAAATTAAATTTCTAATATAAAGGAGCAATAAAATAACACAATCTGGTCGCGTTAGCAGCAGTGAGCATGTTGCCTGTAAGCCCACCTCATCTCTTTTCAACTGTCTTCCAACATTTCTAGAACTAAATGACTTTAACTGGCTTTTCCAAGATGAAGCAAATATATATCCCAAGAGAAAGAGAGAGAGAATCACCTAAAGCTATGATGAAAGGAGAATCCATAAATAAAATTTTTGATTGGCCGCCAAGAGCGAGGGAAAACATCCTTTTACCCCTCCTTCTCAAAGGCCCTCTCTTAAAATGATAATAAAATAAAAAATAAAATAAAATCATGGACCATTTTTAAAAATAAAAAATAAAAAAATGGCAAGCTAATAGCAGTTTCAACTTTCCCCCAACAGGTGCAATCACATTACCATTTCAAGGTGGTGAAAAAAAAAGGAAAGAAGGAATAAATGAAAGTAAGTTTAATCCATTTTTAAAAGGTTCCCGTAAACAAATGTTGCTTTAAATACAACACCATTATGACTGATCTGATCATAACACTACCAGTAAAATGGCAAGTCTCCTCTTTAAATCAGACATATTGGATCAAATCGAGTTTAACAAGTTTAGCTGCCTGAGATCAGCATTGACCATTTTGGGAAAGGTTAAAAGAACAGTGCTCCCTCAGATCATTGACAGCTCATTCAAATTAGAGTAGTTTCTATGTTTATAATATTTTTCAAGATAAATCAACTGGATAAAGACAAAGGGGATGGCATACCCCCCACCCCAAAATAAATAAATAAAAAATACAAACACAAAAACAAAAGACAAAACAAAGAAAAAAAAAAACAAAAACAAAAACAAAATTAGCATTATCTTAGAAGTATTTCCAAATTTAATTCATTGCAAACAAGTCAACAAAAAAAAAAAAACAAATGCACCAAAAGAATTCATGGAGGTTTACTGATGTCTCATCACACAATCTAATAAATCCAATGGTTGAACTGAATCATAGAATGAGTTTTACTGCATATACCTGGAAACCTTTAAACACTTGGCGACGATACGCAGCCTCTTCCTTTTGCCCCATGCTGGCCCACACATCTGAATACACAACATCAGCTCCTCTAACAGCTTCCTTTGGATCATTTGTCATCTCAATTTTGCTGATTCCAGCTTGTCGTGCCTTCTCAACTGTCTTCTCATCTGGTTCAAAACCTTTAGGGCAGGCACACACAAAATGGAAAGGAATTACTGATGCCATCAATAGCCAAGAATGTACAATATTGTTTCCATCTCCAACATAGACAACCTGGATTTTACAAGATTATCAGGACAAAATTAGAGAAAATTTGAACCACTAAAATTTCAGCGAAGGATATGACAAAACAATGGAGATCACAACAAATGGCCAAATATATATTGTGATTGCATCAGCCATTATTTGACTAACCTTGGTGCCCTCTAACTGTCCAATGTGTTCAATTATTGTGAGTGCATCAGCCATTATTTGACAAGGATGGTTGTAATCTGTCAACCCATTGATCACTGGTATTGTCGCATATTTACCCAGATCAATAATGTCCTGCAACAGAACAATCAATATAGCTAATTCTTAAACCCAAGAGATAGCTAGTTTTATAGCAAAAGTTCTTTTTTCTTCCTCAGAGAAACCACTAAAAGAGAAGAGGCATTTACTTCACTAATGGGGATCTTTTTCCATTTCCCTTATAATTTTGGGGGCGTGGGTTTTAGGTGGTATGTAAACTACCAAGACATCTTTTGGGCATTGACGAAGATAATCTTGGCCAAACCATTATCAAATCCCACATCAAGAAAAAACAGCAATGATGGACAAAACACAAGTTTAAATTATGCATGTGCAAAGCTATAGAAACCATATATGTCGTGACTGCATCTAATTTGCTTGCGTGAAACTATTTATATAATTGAGCAAGAAAAATATATTTCTGCTTCATATATACAAGTCCTCTTGGCAACATATGAAAGTGCCTTTTTCCTGTAAGCGTGATATACAGAAGTGCTTTAGTCATAGCAGAATTAAAATAGCGCTTTGTTCCAGAATCAGCAGAAATCCATTATTTTTCTACGAAGTCTCAGTAGCTGACATAAACACACTATTGAGAGTTCACTTGTTGGAAAAACTCGTCATGCTCTTTCTTGACCAAGTGGTCTGCTTCTTGCAAAAGCACATTCTCTTTCCTAACCAAGTGGGTGGCCTCTTGCAAAAGCACCTATCCAGCAGAAACATCCAACACATTTCGGGATAAACAGAAGTTGCTTGTGAAAGACCGAAAAGAAAGTTGCACAGCAATAATTGGGTTGGGGGGGGGGGGGGGGGGGGAAGAAGTTGCACTGCAGAAGAAGCAGTACAGATACAGAGTTTGTGGTTACTATTTCCTTCACTGCATCAAACAGAAAATCAAGCTTTTTCTTTCCAATGTTTTCCTTTCAAATGGATACTCAGAAACACAAAGAGTTGTTAAACCAATATCATAGAATTCCTGACAATGAATAGAGCATAAGCAAACTTGCAAGAGATTATTACTCAGCTGTAATTGTAAAACAAGAATATCCTCGGGACAGGGGTGTGTGTTCCTCCCAAGAGAGAGAGAAAGAGAGAAAGTATAGGAGTCCAAACTGATATGTTTGAATATATAATGGAGACATATAACCAATATAGAAACTCACCAGCATACCTGATGAGCAAAAAGGCGTGCCATAATAATATCGTTATAGCGAGACAGCACACGAGCAACATCACGAGTTTCCTCCCGCTTCCCCATCTGGATATCATCTGGTCCCAAATATAAAGCATGGCCACCAAGCAAGAAGAATCCAGTTTCAAATGAAACCCGTGTTCTCATGGATGGCTTGGCAAAGATCATAGCCATTGTTTTGCCTTTGAATGGGAGGAATGTCCTCTCCCCTGATTTTAGAAGTGCCTTGACATCTCTAGCACGGTCTAAGATCTTCAATATAGTTGCTTTGTCAAAGTCATCAATGTGCAGAAAGTCCTTAGGCTCTGCTTTTGCTGGAAAATAAATCATAAAAGATCAAAGTTAGATATTCTCTACTATAGTTCCCTAGTTCTTAAGTTTCCTGGAAAATGTGTTTCACGGAGGACATTATGTGCAATGTTATATTGTAAGGTTCTGTGACAACTTCAAATCTCAATCGTTGGAAAGAAGGTTAAATGGCATTCCAATATGCAACCACAACTATCACCTGCCAACTTGAATCAAATCACAGAGAATGTTTGGTCAGTTTAGGCCTTCAAATACACAAGAGTGTGCTGCGAGTATCGCTCATAGCTTTTAACCTTCTCTTTATTAAATGTTTGCTAGAGGCTGCCAAATGTATCAAAGTCAAAGAAAACTTGGCTTAGCTTTTAGAATTGGACATTTAGTTCAACTAATTTACCACCTGCATGATTATTATTATCTCTAAATATAGACATTGACTTCCATTCGACTTAGTAGACTTTTAAAATTTTGAAGCGGACACAGTCGGTAACCATTCAACTTACTCTTGAACCTAACATTAAATTTGGAACAGCAGAAAAGTAACACCTAAAACGTAATAAAAAGAGAGAATGAATCATGAATGACATGCTAGAAAATGATTTCGGCTTCCGACAGATTGGCAAATGTGTACCACTGATGTTCAACATTTCCGTGTGGAATATCCTGAACTGGAAGTGAGGGCTGACATTGGAAGGTATTTAGGCAATGCTTTACTTGATCAGAACCAACAACACCACTAGACAGTTTATAATGTCCTCAGGCAGATACTTCAATGTCACAAATTTAAGTTTTTACCTTCAAAAACTTATTGCACATCTTACAAGAACTAAATCAGTAGTGTTAATCATCCTAGCAAAAATATTGTCAACAGAAGATCAAGCATAAATGTAAGGTATTGATGTTGCCAACAAAATACATCTATCAATCCACCAAAGCCATCAATGGTAAATTTGTTCTTGTGTGGAGCAGATTTTAGTAGCATAATCAGAAATATATATACATATATGTGTGTGTGTGTGTGAGAGAGCTAGCAACATCTGCAGCAGTTCCCTTTTTCCTCTTTCCAACACCAATCCATACGATACATCCTGTATAATAAGAGATTTTGATTGCCATCACCAATTACATAGCTGTGGACCACTGCATGGACTCCTCAAAAAGTACATGAACTACCCGTCTTTGATGCATGCAGAACATTTGGACTGATCAACCATTAGTAGATATCAAGGTGACTTCATTACCCATTTTTTTGGAGGAAAATTTGAATACTCAACTTTTCAGAAACGCATAAGCACAAACCTAGATTGAGGAACTATGCAGAATGAATTACATCTTTAGACTTCCACGACCGGAATTCACGGAGATGTTGGCTTAGATTTAACACAAAGCCAAGTTTGCAAAGCCAGTCATTAACTCTATTGCTATAATTAGACACTTGAGTTTCATAATTCTAATTCTATCAGCTTCTACGGTTTTATAACTCTAGCCACACCCTGAAGTCATCATACTTAAACATCAGCCACTCCCATCGTTACATTAAGTTGTACTTGATCCATTCAAGTACAGCAACTGTTTACAAGTTTATGCTCTATCTCCTAACTTGCTGTGTTCGCCAAGAAATCGAGACGCAAGACAGAAGAAAAGAAAAAAAAGGAAACCAACTATTTGTACCTGAAATGATTATGCTGCCATCAATCCAAAAAGCAGTTTCTTAAATTCCAAATAGAATAAGGAATAAAAACTGATTCGACAGTTCGACCACCTTTATTCCAAAAGCATAACCACAAACAGGAAGAATACATATTTTCAAGAACTTTATGTTTCTTGCCCAGCCCTTAGAAGGGGCCTAAATACTTCAAAGTCATTCCAAAATCCATAAAGCTCTAAGAATTTAAAAACATTGAGATTTTTATCACAAAGAAATAAAGAATATATGGTAAAATATACTTTTCATTTGCGGCTGGTCACAAGTATGAGTCCAGTATTAGTAGCGTTTATATATATATATATATATATATATATATATATATATATATATTAACAATTACATATACTATTGATCCTTATAATATATTCAATATGAATTATCTCGTTACATCAATTCCAAAATTCCATTAACATATAATTAAACCACGTATTTAGTTGAACCATGAGAATTTACAAATCTTCCAACAGACTTGGTTGACATCATCTTTTAATTTATATCCCAGTATATCACTTTTGGGTAGGACCAACTCAATTCCTCTTGAAAAATCCTCAAATCAACAATCTAATCAGAGCTTTCATCATTAAGGAAATATCTTTCAATCATATGATCTTTATAGTTGGTCAATAGGAATTAGATTGGCAAATTTTGTAACTAAACCTTGAGTCTTTGTAATTTTTTTAGTCAGAATTTTGAATGTTAGTTACTGTCAAGTTGTTACCTATTGTCCAAAGGAAGAATCACAATTAAACCTACAACCAAAGGCAAAAAAATAATCTTCAATATCAAGGTTATAAAGGCAAACTTACTAATCAAAAAAAAAAAAAAAAAAAAAAGGTTATAAAGGCAAATTTGACACTCACATTTGCATTCACCAATTAGCGTTCATCCATTTATCAATTAGGATTTTACATATTTTATGTTTGATTTTGAAAAATCCTTTTTCGATATGCATTGTTTTTTAATCTTGGAAACTTCTAATTTTGAAAATCCAAAGTAATCAAATGAAAGGAACCTCAATCGGTCGAAGGATAAGTCAAAACTCACTAGACTAGTGTTGATCATCCGACACATTACGCGATTGATCAAGCTTTGCAATAATAGAGTTTCGTTTCCATTTAAAACACTTAAAACCTAAATTTTTAAGTCTCTATTATATATAAAGACATCTAGTCTTCAGAAAATCTCGACATATAGAGCTAAAGAGAGTGCATGCATCCTATAGCATATCATATGCTTTTTTCCAATTGCATTCTAGCAATCTTTGCTAGACTTTTTAGTGTATTTTTCATTCATCAATCATATATAAAGACTTTTTTACCCTCAATACTTTTTAATACTTTTGATAAAAATAAGAAAAAGTCAAACTACAATAAAAGATCATTATTCTTTCTATTTACTTAATTTACCTCTCTTATAGTTCCCCTCTTTCTCACTCCTAAGCTGGTGAAAGTGAAACTTGGGCTCAAAATGGATCGGATCTGAAGCAAATGTGAAACCATATCCAGATCCATATTTTAGTGTCAGGATCCATTGACGAATTTGATAATAATATTAATAATAATAAAAATAAATAAATAAATAAATAACTGATCCGAATCAGATTATATGGACAAGATCCATATAGTTCAAACAGGATCCAAATAAAGGAAAATACACTTGATTTGGTTCAAACCTCAAGCAAAACCCAAATCGGTTGGATCTTTCAACAAAGATCCATATCTGACCCATTTTTTTGAATTTTGATTCAAAATTAAAATCCAATCCTGTCAAATAGACATCGGATCAGATCAGTTCTTGAATACACCCGATCCATTTCAAGCCCTAATTAAAACCTCTGTCTACAACCCAACCCAACCTCGAAGGCGACCTCCATATCTCCTCCCTATTTCCGCACATGTCCACGCAGCTTTACATACTCATCAACATTCCTTACTCATGCAAATTGACACACATTTACATTGTCACTCCATTACAAAACACAGACACACTTCCGTCAAATTTCCAACCTCATTGTGTACTTGCTTCCGCTCACTTACTTCATGCACATACAATGCTTCGCCTGAATTCTTACTCACAAATCATTGTACATTACAAAATCTTGTATTTTACTCACTCTAAACTTCCGTTCTCTACCCAAGAAGAAGAAAAGAGAAGGAACCCATTTAAGTTCCATTTCAGTTTACCTTATCCACTCCACATAACTCTCTAACATTTTTTTGACCTTTCATATTATCTTTCTCCTTTTAAGGCTTTATGTGTGTTTACCACTTTCCTCAAATCCAAACCCTCAATGTAGTAAAAACCTAGCCACATCGAAGTTTTCTATTGTATGGTTAGGTAAAAATGAAGGGGAATGTAAGAAAGAAAGTCCTTTAGCCACCAAAAGTAGAAAACCATGACATCTCTCTATTTTTTTTCCCCAAAAAAATAAGGGTTAATTTAATTAAAAAAACACCTTAGGAAGCCTTAATTACTAGAATGTACCTGCAAGAGTAGGGAGCGTTAGAGTAGCAGCGTAGCTTGATGAGGGTTCGAAGCAGAGAGAGAGAGAGAGAGAGAGAGATGAGGGTTCGAAGTTGGGTAGAGAGCAGCTCAAAGCTGTGAAGTCTACTCGATGGACCTTACCCCCTCCTCATTGACAAAGGTCCGGCTGAACCAACAAGCTCTCTCAACACATAAATGCTAATCACATTAGTTCCTTGCAAGCAACTGACAAAGAGGAGTAATGGTGTGCCCTAGGTCTTCAAACGGTGATAAAGAGGAGTAAATTTCAAACTGGTAATGGTTCTTAGATTGGTAAAGTAGAGATATAAGATGGAAAGAGAAACAAGGGTAATTTAGTAAATTTTAGAAAGTACTTAAGGGTAATTTGGTCTCCATGTATTGATGACCAATGAAAATTGACATATTTGTAGTTACTTTTGCCTAAACTGTTTTCTGATGGAGTTATTTTTGAGTGTTCACATTCTAGTAATTAAGGCTTCCTAAGGTGTTTTTTTTATTAAATTAACCAAAAAAAAAATCTTTTTTTTTTTTATAAGTAATAAGTAAATAAAAAGGCATTCAAAAGGGGAACGCGTCCCGAATACAAAAATGGAACCCGGGGCTAAGGCCCCAAAGAATCCAAGAAAATAATTAAATCATCAGAAGAGGAGCAAGAACTTCTCTTGACATAATTGAAAAGAGAGCGAATAATAAAAAGTTTCAGCGTCGTCGTAGACAACTCCTTCCCTTCGAACATTCTGCTATTTCTCTCCTTCCAGATGCACCACCAAACGCAATGTGGGACAAATCTCATAC